TCAAGACCCTCTTTGATATATTGGCTGATGATGGCATCACCCATCTCAACATCTGGGTTAGTGGAGTTCGAGTCTTCTTGGAAGGCTCTTATCCTTTTGGTCATGTCCAGCTCCATTTTTCGCCCGTCTTTCGAGCTCAATGGTATTCTTTTGCGTACCAAGTATTTTTTCAGCTTGGTATTCATTCTGTCCATAATTCTTTTATGGCGAATAAGTCGCGATGATTTGGAAGGCCCCGGAGACATGTTAGAGATTCGGGGTCTTGCTGCTATGAGAAGTCTAATTAGTGTAAATGTATGCGAATCAAAGGGTAAGGGTGATGATTTTAGGGTATCTCATCGATTTTCTCAAAGTTATTCAGGAATGGTGGCACCGGTCATGTGTCATAGCTAGATAGCTGCATACGCAATGAAATGATAAAAACAAATTCCTTATCTTGCGCCCGGACTCTAACTTGAACAACATTACATAAGCATTACAATTTGTGAGAGCCTCGTACTAATCTAGAGGTCTGTCAATCTTGAATCCTCAACCTCCCCAGGCGATGTGTTTTGGCCACGTGACCTTCTTTTCCAGTTTGCTGCAAGCTTGCGAAAGAGAAAGATTTTCGCCGAGCTAGACGCTGTGGGAACATCAGAGAGAAGATGGAGGGCGGCCTCCTGGTTGTCAAGGCAAACGGTGACGTTAGAGGCATAGAAAGCCAGTGGGTTGAGGAGTGCTGCAGTAAGGCCTTCCGTGGCCCCGGCAATTTGAGCATCATAGACCTCTGCCGAGTTTCCGAGCGGGAGTGATCCTCGCCCAATCTCCTGCGTAAGGCCTCGATAGATGACGTACCCCGCGCCGGTTCGGTCTGCTATGAGAGCTCAATCTGAAAATACGAATAAGTCTAGAGTGGGTCGAGCAGCCTGCCACTGTTTGAAGGAATTTGATCCCGAGAGTCTACCTACTGCCCCAATTTCGATTAGCTTTTCCTCACGGGGTGCCGATCATGGTGGGCGGATGGTATCTTCGGAAAGTTCTAGTGTAATTCTCTGGCGGATCCAGCGCATGCGGCTAGTGTTCCAACGCCTATGATGAGGGTGATAGGGGTCAGCTGCAGCAATTCGAACCGCTAGACGGCTGTGAATTCTGTTAAGCCACGTCTGAGCTGGACCCTAGCCAGCTTCACGTAGAAGTACTGCTATTGGTGTGGTACGGTAGACTGGGAGAGCTGCCCGTGCGGCGTCGTTCATTCTATGTTGGACTTGCAAGATGATTTTTTGGGAAGTCTGTTTAGAGTACCAGGTCTCGGCCCCGTAGAAGAGGGTCGCAAAGGCAGCACCTTGTAGAGCTTGTCTTAGAAAAAGAGGGCTTAGTCCTCGAGTGGTTGTGGACAGTCTTTTCATAGGGCTTTCTATTATGGATATGAGCTAGAGGATTATATTTTCAGATGCACGTGGGAACGGACGTTGAGCCGTTGATGAGGTCTGGAAGTAACGAGAGAGCTGTTTGTGGTTTATTACATTGCTCTTTTCTAACTGTATCCACACCGTTACGACGTATCCATTGTTGAATATTTTTACCAGAAATAAAGCTCCGCCTAGTCAGCATACGCTGACATTAACCCAGACTCTTTCCCAACTACATCTTCATTCTACCAAGACGATTACATCGCAACAAAATTACATCACTACACTTTCCGACCTAAGAAGAGCTCTTTTGGAAGGTGAGGAGCTGTCTTAATGTCGGTAAAAGGATTATACTTGGGCGTTATGAATTGTTCTATGTAATTGCGGTGTTAAGGATGTCGTTAGGACTCTGGCAGGGATCTGATTTAGCTCATTAGCGAGGCGCTTGGAGTAGAGGGAGAAGGAAAAGGAGAGACAACATTTTATGTATCTCGAGATACCAGTTAATTGAGATTATTTACCGACTTCGTGACGGACAGCTGACTTCGTGACGGCACCCAATTTGTATTAATCCGTGTTTTACCATCACTTAATTTATAATCAAACATATGAGTTTGGGATATTCATAGTCCGCCAGTTATTTCGGATCTCCATCAGATTTATGGAGTTCAATCTCAGTAGTGAGGTAAAAGAATACTTGGGGGAGTGTTGGCAAGGCATATCTGCTCCTCTTCTTGCCTCTCAGTCAGCTAGTTCATTACCTTCTATTCCTGCATGTCCAGGAACCTAGCTTACATTCATCTGCCCTTCCCGGGTATGAGGAAGTCGTGTTTTCGCTTCCCAACCCTTAACCGTTTCTAGGGAGTCTATAAAAATTGATTGTGATCACTTTGGTGGTGTGGAAGTGAGCAATTTTCTTGCAACTTGTAAACTATCTGTAAATGTCGATGCGTTATTTGCGAAACGTGTTGAAAGTATTTTGATAGCAGCACGAATCTCTTGGAGGGCTGCATGGGCTTCGGCATCATGTAGATGTCTAAAATTTCCAAGAGGGGATGTTTCAGAGGCGACTCTAATTCTAAACAGAAATGTAACATATACACCACCTTAGTAACCGTCTAGGAGCTTTGATCCGTCTTAATAAATTTGGATGTCACTACCCGGTCGAGTGCTCAGGAAGTTGCGGAACTTGTTGGCATTTGTATGTATTAGTCTCAAGGGTCCACTGATTCGAATTAATGATTTTCTTTTGGTCTCCTCAATTATCCAAGGAGGCTTGATCAATGGATCAAAATACTCTGAGGCTGGTATGCTTCTACATGTTCTGGAAAACTGAGACAAGGCAGGTAGCAAAAGTGAGGCTTCTCCTCGCTGCCGTAGAGTATGATAAGGATCAAGCCTACGTGTACGCATAGCTTCTCTTTGAGATATATTGTTGAGTGCCATCTCTGAAGGTAATATTCCAGACTCCCTGAGAAGGATTATGGAAGGGGTGGTCCGTAAAACTAGAATGATTGACCTTGCAGTAGCTAGGTGAACTTTTTCTATTGTAATTATATGTGCATCTACTATACTGCACACAGTATTGCCACTCTTCAATCTAGATTTACCTGGCTACGAAGTCTCAGCCCCGAAATGAGCAATTGGTAGGACACACCCAACAGCCGCTTTCCTAGAGAGTCTAGGTGACATTCCTCGGATTCTAACTATCAGAACTTATTGTTGATCAAATAGAGTACAAAGATAAGGTGACGCTTAATGGAAGTTTTTTTTTGCACCGGATTTTAATTGCGTATGCAGCTATCTAGCTATGATACAATATCAAAGGAAAGGTACAGAAAAGATGACTCAATTTAGAAGAGGAGCACTCATGCCTCGGATTTCATTTGCAAGTACCACTGCGAAGTTATGGTGGCTATTTCTTCACCCCAAGTCAGCCCTAATCTGTGAATACTCACCCCAGGGAACTTCTCAAAAACCTAGAGTTATCCAGACATGCCTCCATCATCAATTAACTTTTCTCCGCGCGAAATATGGTCCAAGGCATTTCCTTCCCAAGTGGAGTAGATGCCCAGGCTCCTCAAACCATACCAGAGAACACCACCAGGAGGCAGATTACAACACCTTCCTTCGTTGGCTTGTTTTTATAGTGTCAGCTGCTGGTCGAAAGCCTAGCAGTCATATAGTATGACGCGGAGAGGACAAAGCTCAATTTGTAAAACTCTTTGCCAAAAATCGACTTTTCACGCCCGTCGAGAATGTATCTTTCCTCTACATCGTCTTATCAACTTGTTCTGATCCCTCTCACGTCCATCCCAAAGAGCTGTCTCCCACATTTGTGCGCCACGCTTTGCTTCCTCTGTCGGGTATAAATATCGGCGTGGCCGTGTATTTGGTGGTCAACTGAGGCCAGAGAAGGTCGAAGAGAGGTGTGGTCATTGGCATGAGGATGTACTAGGTCGTACTTGTAGACTTGATGAGATTGAGGTAGGCGTCAAACTCGTTGGGAGCGGAAAAACGACGTGGTGGAGTAATTTTAAATTTTGCCTCGTGGGCCAACTTGTTTGATATTGCAAAATTTGACTGAACTTGGCTCTGGGAGAATATTTCACTCCCAGGCTCGTAGTGGACACCGCGTACAGGTGTTCAGTCTTGCCCTCCGCCTAGCTGAGCTTAATCATACGCTATCGCATCAATTCAATTGATCTTGATAATCATACCTAGAAATCTAAACATTCAAACTGAGTCTAGATTGCCGGCAGAGACGAATTCTTCACCTTCCAGTGGTGCCGGTGTAATTACTCATTACGCCCTGCATATCTGGGATAGCCAAGAGGAATCGCATCCGAATCGAAGTCGAAAGCAAACACATGCATGTCTCCATTTGACGACTTCTCAATCATGCAGCACTCACAATTATCTTTTGAGTCCTCAACCCCGATCTAAACACATATCATCTCGCCTCGCTGACCAATAAAGGCGTCACCCCAATTGCAAACAGGAGCTTGCCCCAATAATTTCCAGCCATCTCCCACTACAAATTTACGACGCTACGTATACCCGCAAGGAGGAAATTAAGTCGAAAAATACAAAGTTGGGGTCTTGGTTTATGGGGGACTGCTGCTCTAATGGGGCTTCACATCTTGAGGAAGGATTGGCGGCTGATGTGTGGGCTGAGAGGGGAGATAATGAAGGGTTAAGGGCTCCTCTAAGTGTATGATCGAATGAGGAATTGTGAGGGGTGGTACTGTTTGAGGGGAGCTGTATGGGAGGCATAGGAGGGGATGTACTACTGGTATAGGTATCCTTGGCTTGTAGGCAGAGAGGACCTGCATGTCCTACATAGTCATAAACTCAGACAGGACAATAAAATGAATTAATTAACTGAGTTTAGACTTCCAACAATAACACACACCTCTCATAGTTGGGCGTTGCACATCAACGCTCCCCGTCTCAATGAATTACCATCCTGCCCTTAATTATATATCAATCTGCAAACCATCACTATTTGGTTTCGCTCAGAGCATGCCTGAATCTTAAGTCCTCGTTCCTGTCACATAATTTTAGTTAAATTTTTGACGTATCCTGGAAATTGCTACCTCTTGAGACTCACTAGAACTCTCCACAGCTACATGAGGGGCCTGTTGCCCCTGGTATGTATGCCCATCCAACTTTGGCTAAGCCAGTAGCAAAGGTCCATCCATAACCGCATATATCCAATTCATTGTCCTCATCAAAAACCTGCACTTGAGTAACTTTATAGTTGTTTGGTGTTATTATTGCGTAAGCACGGGAACCTTCTCATTCGAAAAATTTAGTAGGTAAATAATAGTTGTAGATCTTAGATTGACAGACCAGAATCATCATGAATCAGATTAAGAAAGATCCTGTATCGAAGTTGTCCACGCAAATTTGAGACTGGCTCCATATATCCCCCATTCCGTGTATATTTATCAACCAAACCTTCTACAGCACTTTCTGAGAACCAGTGTCTTCTGCATTCATATCTCCAAACGGCTGCTGATGGGCCAATGAGACAAAAGATTAGTGTTATTAACTTTGAAAAGTGAAGCTTCATCGCTGCCAAAGTCGTTGAGTCTGAGAATGTCAAAGGACTCTTTACTGCTTAAATATTCATTGGATGGTGAAGGTTAAAATATTTTCACACTAGGTTCAAGATAATTTATGTTGTAGTAAAGGGTGGAGCTGGCTTCGATGAATTTCAAGGTATGTAGATAGCGTCTTTTTTTCACTCCCCAAGTATACTCCTAGGAACGTAGCAACTATTTTTATCTACCTTTTTCATCTTCATTGCTGGCAGGCACTAAAGGTTTAATTAACTTTCGTAGGCAATGAAGTGTAAAAATGTTCAGCCTGGGAATAAATAGAAATTCGATGCTAGCATAGTGACAAGGAAGTTTATACAACTAATAATATGCACCTCCAAGGAAAGAAGAATAATAACCATACTTACCGATGAAGGAATAAGAGTGGGGAAGATCGAACTGCCATCTAATTTGATCCAAATCAATTTTAAGTTGGTTCCATCACAAGCCTTCTCAGGGTTGAGGGAGATTCCATCTTATTATAGCTTTTCACATACTCCATTTTCGTTGGCTTCCAGAATTACGATGACAGTAGAGTAATTATTTGTAGATAATAGATAAATATTGAGCAGTACTTCAAGCAGTAAATCATTAAATTAAAAAAGAAATTCGAAGCATCGGAAGGTGCCATACTTTTTGATTGAACGAACCCGATAATCAACTCTTTGGGATATCCCGAATGAGCAACTACAACCACGATCACTGCTATAGAGCAGGCCATGGATCTTGCTACTGCCCAGTATAGGAATCCTTGCTGGTCAATATGTCTGATACAGTTGAAAGAAAGTTTGAACTCGCGCTATGAGCGGCTCGATTCCGGCTTCCTCTCAAGAACCTTGATGATATAGACATGGACTATCCTACAAGAGAAAGGATTCTGCAATATCTGAAGCTGTAATGGTAGCTGGAGAAGCGCTCATCTCATATTAGCATGCGTCACTACATCGATCCATCAAGATCTCGTGACAGCCCGTCATGTGATCCTCCTATGCTTCACATCCACAGTTTCCAAGATATTTATTGGCGTCTTGTAAAGTCGCCTTTCCGTTCACACTCGGCAGGAAAAACCTTGCTTGTTTTGGATCATGGTACTCGTCGAGAACTTTGATAGCACTCAGAAGCAAGGCTAAATTAGTTTAAGAAGCTATCTCTCTCTCTCTCTTTTCAGAACTTTTCAAAATACCCCCTCATAAATATTGATAAGTCCTTGGGCGCAAGTGATAAAATTCGTTGGAAGGAATCAATGAAGGTGGCATGTGAGATACAGGACGTGCCTGTTGTTATCTAGGAATAGCACAGAATTGTTTATGCATACCTGCATAAACGTTATGCTATGGCGCTTCATAAGGATGTTATTGTAGACTGCTGGACAAACAGGAATAGCCGCGCTATGATTGGTGGGATTAGTATGTTGTGAACCTGCAAGGGTGATAGGAGAGTAATTTAGGTGTGGTCCGAAGTACATCGAGTCGCGATCACACAACCATCTTCCGTCTGTACATCTTTCTATCTTCTAGCACATAATACAGTGCGAAGCATCTTTACTAGTTTCTATGATCAATTATCTACAAGCGCAGTATTTATAGACCATACTCCATTTACTTACAAGTAGCAGAGTCAGTATTGAACCCCTAGATGACCTCATTTCATGATAGTGCCTTTTATAGGTGATCAAAAGTCTGTAGCGCTCGCCTTCTTGGTCTCTCGGAACATTTCGAAGCTGTAGCTTTCCTTTGATTTAGTCCCAAATTCTGGGCGGGGGCGTTGATGCCAGATTAAAACAGTGGATATGGCAAATAGACTGCTGACACTTCAAAGAGAGAACTTTTCTCTTCATTGCAGTCTTAAACTTGATGTGACAGTCAAATACATCACATGATGTCTCCCGAAGGAATAATTAAGGCGAGTGTGGAGGAGTTGAGATCCAATGATCAATCTCGTGCTGTCCCTGTCAAAGTATCCGATAGCATGAGGGCGCTGTATCGAGATTCAGTCGCTTTTCCATGCCCCGAACCATCATCATAATCATATATGGAAAAGTTGGCTCTTGGAATCCTATACATCTCGGACCCCTGTGCATTCAACTGATCTAGATCTGAGGATCGCCACATGAGGAGCGAAAGGGATCATTCGGAAAGTTCTAGAATGGCTGGGATACATCAAGACTTAATCCGTGCCAAGCTAATTTTCTCTTCTCCCAAATCTCAAGGTTGATTCGTCTAGGATTCACGCTTCAAGATAAGCGTCGCCACAGTCGAATAAGGATGCCAATATTATCATCTAGTTCAGGAGATTCACGCCAAGCGAAGGAGCGGAGAGGATCGTCCTTCATCCGCGATAATAGTCATATCGAGGGATGATAGGATGCGACAAATTTTTTTCATGCCATGGGCCGGGTCTGAGAGGTGGTATGGCGCCTAGTTAAACCTGCCATGAGCGCGTGAGGCGCCGTGTCTGTTGGTACGTATCAGTCGGGAGGTGTATACTAGTATACGATATTGAACAGATAATTAACAAATACATTCTTACTATTCTTCTAGTATACTGTGGTTCGTACAACTACATGGTCGTTTAACTGATTATATAATATACCCTGGTACCTAGAGTATTTCTGCCAGCAACTATCTAACACATTGATCATCCAACTCAGACGCCATAGTTGCAACAGTGTCAAACTCATGATGTCTGTTGACTGAATTGCTAGCCAATATCTCGCTTGAGCACGAAAGGAACGGGGCTAGACTAGGACAACAACGTCACAAGTACAATTTGTGCTTCATCACACTCAACTAAGCGAGAGGATGGCAGGATGGTAGGATGCATCAATGTTTGGACTCATGAGGAGTCCTACAGGCCAGAGATCTAAACAACTCAGCACCTGCAATACTCGGCTTTGTAAAACCTCATCCATGGTAGAATCATGCATCTACCACCGAGCGATCAGTGCTTTTTTGCTCGAGATGAGCTTGGAAACTGACCTTTGTTCGCCATGATTGATCGACCGCGAGACGAATCCCAAATATTGAAGAACGAAGGTCGAGCACCTGTCAGCGGTGTCCAGTACGAGCCGGAGAAAGTAGTACTTTCTCTGAGTCAAAATTCAGTTATCTCTCAACGGCCAAATCGAAATTTTCGTGACCGAGATTCTTGTTAGACGGGGCGACTCTAGGCTGATTTTGGTCGGGAGTCTCGGATGATAGAGAGTTATCGACTACGCTAATCTTAATTTAACCCACTAATGAATTCCGATGAGATCATAACACCATCCGTAATAATCTCTTTCAACGCTACTTCTGGAGTACAATCATTGGAAGACGAGACTCTTGGGTTGTAGAGAAGGAACGTCAGATGAAGAAACCAAGGCCTGGGAGTGAAGATGAGAGAGATGCCGGGCCGTGAGAGCTTCGGAACAGGTTGAAATAGCGGACTCGAGATTGATCTGGTATGACCTAGAAGGTTGACGGAAGTAGTCAATCCTTCAAAATCTTTACAGCTCTCTGAAGCGCTGAGCAGTAGTGTTAAGGGACGGTACGCCAGCTTCTCGCAAACATATGTTGAAAATAATATTTACTTGCCATCTTAAGGGAAAATAATCTATATGGGATTTACCAGAGTTTAAAGACTACGCGTCGCATTCTGGACTTTACATAAGCAATTACATGATCCTAACTAAATTAGGAATGACGCCTGTTGGGAGCCGGATAAACTCCGATTCCAGGTAAATGAGGCAGCAGCCTGTAACCAGTAGCTCGACTTCACTGTTTTAATCTACTGGGCTATTTTGGGAGCGCTACACACTGGGTAGTCTTTATAGACTGAGCTCACCGGCACTTGGCTCTGTGTTCTAGTGTTGTGCACCGGCACGACGTTAATACAAAAATAAAGATTATACTTATATGCAGCTCATGTGGAGAAGAGAAACTTGTAAAGCACTTTTCGTATTGTAATTTGGGGCAGTACTTGTGTCAGCATCTGGTGGCACAAAATTTCACACCCAGCATATCTTGATCTTTCTTCTCTTCATTTTTCTCTAAACCATGTAATGTGTGTTTAGTCATGTAGCTTTGATACACGATCAGTGCTATGTATAAATGTTGGATGACTCTTTTTTATGCTAGAGACACCTATAATGTGAAGAGCTATGCCCGGATTGGGATTAGTCACTCGAGTCGCTCCGTCTAGGAATTTAAGCTGGAATAGAGCAGCGCTCCCAGAAATGCGAGGGGTGCACATAAGTAGAAAACCATGTGGGCACGTACTAGATGGGGAGTCTGATGCAGGAGAAAAAGGGAGATGGGGAGAGGTGTATTCTCAGGTGGCCGAGATGGGGGACAGTACTTGTCTCCGCAAAGGGCGTAAAAGATAGGATTAGATTGGATTCTATTATAGTCCCATCTGAGACTATGACTTTGGAGGACTTCTAGAATCTACCTGCAGAAACTTGCTATATTGAACTTTTTACAATGGCAGCCTCTGATTGAATTCTCCTAGACATTGAAAGAGTAAAAGACAATAGACGACGCGATAGAATATCTCCCCAAGGAAAAGTCATCAAATCCCATCAAGTCGTCGACTTTTAAGTACTTTTGAATTCTTTTAACATTCTTCACTTACTCTGGTTTTTATTTGCAAATACTGTTGGAAATCTAGACTTCGTATGTATGAAGGTTTAGATTTCTAGTTTGATCATCAAGATCAATTTACTTGTTTCTATTGCATACGATTAAGCTCAGCTAGAGGAAACGAGGTTCAGTAGTATCTGAAATGCAGTGGCTAGGAAATGATACCATGCGGTAATTGAGTGGCTGGTTGTAGCTAGATCACTGAGAGTTCGGGATCACTAAAGCCTCGGGAATCTGTATTTAAGGATTGGCTTATTTGTATATGTTAAACTAAGTTAACGGAGTATTATATATTATTAATTCATATTGAGAAGAGAGTTCGATATCACATACAACTATCAATAATTTCTTGTCCGAAATTGTACACTTGTTCTTCGAGATATTTCCTCCTCGAAATCCTTGACAATTTCTAACAAATACCACTATGAAGTTTGTTTGCTTTATTATACATTCGGCCCCCCTCCACAAGAAGCCACTACGGGAGTTTTTGAGGTTTGATTATCCAAGCATGTATTCGTCATCCATGCATACCAGCGCCGCGAGAAATGTGGATGTGTTTTGCCGGGTTTGAACCAGCCATCTACTGTCTCGAGTGGGATATGTGTCCAAGCTATGCTGACTCTACTTGGCAGACCGGCCATGACGATGTACCACAGCACCTTCCATCGTCGGCTTGTTTTTATAGTGTCAGCTGCACTCTCGCAAGCGAAGTCTTGGCACAAATAAAGCTCAATTTTTAAAAGCTCCTTGCCAAATTTCAATATTCCACGCCCGTCAAGACTGTATCTATCCTTCGCATCACCTTGTTAACTTGTCCTGAAGCCTCTCACGACAATCTCACAGAACTGTCTCCCAGATTTGCGCGCCACGCTTTGCTTCCTCTGTCGGGTATAAATATCGGCGTGGGCGTGTATTTGGCGGTCAACTGAGGCCAGAGAAGGTCGAAGAGTGGTGTGGTCATTGGAATGAGGATGTACTAGGTCGTACTTGTAGACTTGATGAGATTGAGGTAGGCGTCAAACTCGTTGGGAGCGGAAAAACGACGTGGTGGAGTAATTTTAAATTTTGCCTCGTGGGCCAACTTGTTTGATATCGCAAAATTTGACTGAACTTGGCTCTGGGAGAATATTTCACTCCCAGGTTCGTAGAGGACACCGCGTACAGGTGTTCAGTCTTGCCCTCCTCACAAGCTGATGGTGTATGCCAGGTTAGTGAAGAGATGACCGAGGTAGAGCAAGCTCTGGCCATAACAGGCTTAGTGATATGCAAGGCAATTGGTGTAAGGCAACGAGGATGTCAACAAGACAATAGAAACGCTTGGCAACCTTAGGGTGCGTGGGCGGGACAAATGCTCTTTGAAGGGCTCAGAGGCCGGGCTTATCCCGTCTTGTTATGATCCAAATCTACACAAGGAAGCAAGGGCTTCATATGCAAGACTCACTGATTAAATTACATGACTCTATTTATGCCAGCTCATATTAATGTATGACTCAAATGTGAATTGTGCCAATTTTCATGAGCTTAGGATCAAATAATGTCGATGCGCATTACACAAATACATCAGACGATCAATGAAAGGCAAGGCTGGACACCTGTGCGCGGTGTCCTCTACGAACCTGGGAGTAAAATATTCTCCCAGAGCCAAGTTCAGTCAAATTTTGCAATATCAAACAAGTTGGCCCATGAGGCAAAATTTAAAATTACTCCACCACGTCGTTTTTCCGCTCCCAACGAGTTTGACGCCTACCTCAATCTCATCAAGTCTACAAGTACGACCTAGTACATCCTCATTCCAATGACCACACCACTCTTCGACCTTCTCTGGCCTCAGTTGACCACCAAATACACGCCCACGCCGATATTTACACCCAACGGAAGAAGCAAAGCGTGGCGCACAAATGTGGGAGACAGTTCTGTGAGATTGTCGTGAGAGGCTTCAGGACAAGTTAACAAGGTGATGCGAAGGATAGATACAGTCTTGACGGGCGTGGAATATTGAAATTTGGCAAGGAGCTTTTAAAAATTGAGCTTTATTTGTGCCAAGACTTCGCTTGCGAGAGTGCAGGCGACACTATAAAAACAAGCTAACGATGGGTTGATTTAAAAAAAAAAAAAAAAAAAAAAAGCCAACGATGGAAGGTGTTATGATCTGCCTTCTAGTGGTGTTCTCTGGTATGGTTTGAATAGCCTGGGCACCTACTCCATTTGGGAAAGAGACATCTCAGATAACACATCGCGCGGAGAAAAGTCGAAAGATGACGGAGGCATGTCTGGATAACTCAGCGGTTTTGAGACGTTCCCCTGGGTGGGTATTCACGGATGAGGGTTGAATAGAATAGAATAGAATTAAATTTAAGTCCCTACTGAGTCTAAGACTATGAAGGACTACTAAAAGTAGACATTAAACCACCAAAATTCACTTGTTTTGATAAATACTGTTTTTTCAATCTTTTCCAATAGACAATGAGGGTTTAACCCTGGATGAGGGTTGACTTGGGGTGAAGAAAAAGCCGCCATAACTTCGCAGAGGTACTTGCGAATGAAATCTGGGGCATGAGTGATTTTTCTTTGCGTTGAATCATCTATTCTGTACCTTTCTTTGTTGTTGTGTCATAGCAAGATAGCTGCATATGCAATTAAAATCTGATGCAAAAAAAACTATTAACTTGTGCGAAGTCACCTGACTTTCATGTATATTGGATGATGTTGGGATATTGAGAAAGTATAGTCACGGGAGTAAGATAATGCAGGTAGTATTATGCGATATGTGAGGAATGTATGGATGTAGTACTATGGGTGTGTAGTGATAGAGGTGTTATGTACTAATGATGTGGACACCTTTCACTTGACCAAGTAGCTGACTAAGCAGCATTTCCTGACAGATGAGAGTCTGTGCTTTGAAGTAGGGCTGCGCACAAGTGAATCATAATATAGTATTCAAGTAGAAAATGATTAGAGAGAATTAGAGAACACATTAATTTGCAATACCAAACCTCAGATTACCAAAAATGCCTGAATCTCATGTCCTCAATTGTATAACATAAATTTAGTAAAATTCTTAACATATCCCGGATATTGATACCTCTTTGGACTCACTGGAATTCTAGGCAGTCACATGAAGGTCCTGACGCCTCTGGTGCGTATGGCCGTCCTTCTTCGTCCGAGTCATAAGTAGTGGTTTTTTCATGTTTACATGTTTCCCAATTACCGCCTTCATCACGAATTTGCACTTTAGTAATTTTATGGCTTGATGTTATTGTTGCGAAAGCTTCGCAACCTTTTCATTTAAAAATGTCAGTAGGTTAAAAGATAATTGTGGATCTTAGATTGACACACCAGTACTTCGAGGAACGAGAGGTAGAGAGACCAAATATCGTGATCCTCCAAATACAGATCTGGATTTCACCATTTTTGCCCCACTTCTGACTGCTTCAGCAATAGCCTCCTTTACAGCGCTTGACTCGAAATAATGTCTTTTGCAGTCATAACCCCAACCGGCTGCTGCCGGCTCCACGAGAAAAAGGGCAAGTGTTAATAACTTTGGAAGATAAAGCTTCATCGCGGCCTAGGTCGTAGAGTTTGATAAATGGCGAAAATTTTTCGACTGCTTGGACACTCTCAAGAAAATAAATTGATAAATATTTAAAAGACGGGTCCGCGATAGTTTAATGTGCAGGTGGAGGTGAAATCGCTATCTGAATATTCAAAAAAGGTGAAGATGGCGTCGTCTTTTCTCTAAGCGTTAAAAGTGTCGAGGCATGACCACTGTTTCTTTATACCTTTTTCGTTTTCAACACTAGCAGCCACAACAAAGTGTGGATTAACTTTCGTAGGCAATGAAGTGTAAAAATGTTCAGCCTGGGAATAAATAGAAATTCGATGCTAGCATAGTGACAAGGAAGTTTATACAACTAATAATATGCACCTCCAAGGAAAGAAGAATAATAACCATACTTACCGATGAAGGAATAAGAGTGGGGAAGATCGAACTGCCATCTAATTTGATCCAAATTAATTTTAAGTTGGTTCCATCACAAGCCTTCTCAGGGTTGAGGGAGATTCCATCTTATTATAGCTTTTCACATACTCCATTTTCGTTGGCTTCCAGAATTACGATGACAGTAGAGTAATTATTTGTAGATAATAGATAAATATTGAGCAGTACTTCAAGCAGTAAATCATTAAATTAAAAAAGAAATTCGAAGCATCGGAAGGTGCCATACTTTTTGATTGAACGAACCCGATAATCAACTCTTTGGGATATCCCGAATGAGCAACTACAACCACGATCACTGCTATAGAGCAGGCCATAGATCTTGCTACTGCGCAGTATGGGAATCCTTGCTGGTCGATATGTCTGATACAGTTGAAAGAAAGTTTGAACTCGCGCTATGAGCGGCTCGATTCCGGCTTCCTCTCAAGAACCTTGATGATATAGACATGGACTATCCTACAAGAGAAAGGATTCTGCAATATCTGAAGCTGTAATGGTAGCTGGAGAAGCGCTCATCTCATATTAGCATGCGTCACTACATCGATCCATCAAGATCTCGTGACAGCCCGTCATGTGATCCTCCTATGCTTCACATCCACAGTTTCCAAGATATTTATTGGCGTCTCGCAAAGCCCTCTTTCCGGGCAAGCTCGGCAGGAAGAACTTTTCTTGTTTTGGATCACGGTACACGCCGACAACTTTGATAGCAATTGGAAGCAAGGCTAGATTAGTTTGGGAAGTTCTCTCTCTTTTCAGAACTTTTCAAAACCCCCCTCACAAATATTGATAAGTCCTTGGGCGCAAGTCGTAAAAGTGTTCGAAATTTAGACTCTATGCGTCTGAAGTTTCCCTATGATTGGAACAACTAAGATTCTCACATATGACTCACAACCTAGATAATTGATACCTCTTTTACTGAGCATATTTGATGCTTGAGACTCGACTAGTGCATGGTATTGTCTGCTACATGTGTAGGCCTTCATCTACCGACTGCGACCCCATACTCATGTTGTATACTGTCGTGCGATTCATCATCATTGTTAGAGTATAGAACGAATGATAGATGGTATCTAATTTGGATTTGGTCTATCAAGCATACATATATATATATAAGCTGTCTAAGAATCACCAAGGCAGATAATCTAATCAATTCATTCAATCTATATTTTACTTCTCCATAATATATCACATATTCTCCCGATTCAAATTTTTATTATTCTATTCATAAATCGCGCCCATATTCCTTGAGCCGCCCTACTCATCGAGCCCATATCGATTTTCCAACAGAAAGTCGTTGGGAAGAATCGATGAAGGTGGCATGTGGGATGTGCTTTTGGTACGTGTTCAAGAGATCGTTGCGTTCGCCTACTTTGTTTTTCGGAAGATTTCGAAGTTGTAGCTTTCCCATGATTCAGTCCCAACTTCGGTATAGAAAAGCCTAGCATCCACTGATTTTCACGAAGTTCCCTAGGTATACAATACCCTTGAATAGTCTTTGTATCGGTGGCTGAAGTCGGAAGGTAATAGTGGGCCGCCTTCGTTATTATCTATGTCTCTGAATAAGGACTGGTGGGGGGCGTAGATGCTAGATTAAAACAATGGATATGGCAAATAGACTGCTGACACTTCAAAGAGAGAACTTTTCTCTTCATTGCAGTCTTAAACTTGATGTGACAGTCAAATACATCACATGATGTCTCCCGAAGGAATAATTAAGGCGAGTGTGGAGGAGTTGAGATCCAATGATCAATCTCGTGCTGTCCCTGTCAAAGTATCCGATAGCATGAGGGCGCTGTATCGAGATTCAGTCGCTTTTCCATGCCCCGAACCATCATCATAATCATATATGGAAAAGTTGGCTCTTGGAATCCTATACACCTCGGACCCCTGTGCATTCAACTGATCTAGATCTGAGGATCGCCACATGAGGAGCGAAAGGGATCATTCGGAAAGTTCTAGAATGGCTGGGATACATCAAGACTTAATCCGTGCCAAGCTAATTTTCTCTTCTCCCAAATCTCAAGGTTGATTCGTCTAGGATTCACGCTTCAAGATAAGCGTCGCCACAGTCGAATAAGGATGCCAATATTATCATCTAGTTCAGGAGATTCACGCCAAGCGAAGGAGCGGAGAGGATCGTCCTTCATCCGCGAGAATAGTCGTTGTCGAAGCATTATAGAAAACGATGCGGACTCCTTATAACAATACGATTCCGTACAACAAAATTTTCTAGTTGAAACTTTTTAATGGAGAACATTATAACATGATAATAGGTACGAATATATCTAATTACTTAGTCCACTTATTGGAAGCTTCGGGAAGATATTCTTTCCATTATGACTGGCCCTCACCACCTCTGGCAGGCATAAATTTCCGTAGACAACGTGGCACATTAAGTCATCTGACACCGTATTTCATCCTGGGCCGCTTCTTCTTTGTTTGGGGAAGCTGAGTGCCCCCAGTTTCTAGAGCAGTAAGCTCTGGCGTTCATTTCCAATTCGGGGCTAGTGTATTATTATCATTAGTTAAACGTTAAATACTAAACGAAACATACTAAATGCAAGATTTGTGAAATTCAAATTTCGCAAATTCCATTTTTTCCATCCCTCTCGATCTCGTCGCATACAGCCTTGAATTGTGATCAAGCTTGCGGCATTTTCACCTTGCCTCCTGTTCGTAAAAAGCGTCCAAAAGTTTTATTGGACAACATGAGAGTCTGCCCGAGGGCTCTCGTATTAAAGTTCTAGGGGGTATCTGGAATGATAGAAGTGAACGTTGACCGTCAAGTCAATACTGTACGAATCGTAAGATATTGGGGATTTAAGGATCAGAGATAAAAGGTTAGGATCAGTGAGGTTTTGGTTTTACTGAACTTATATTTCGGTAATTAAAAGTGTTAGTGTTTAATCTACATCTAATTGTCTATCTATGTTCTACCTCGCTTAGGTAGAAACATTGTGTTCTGATTACGTGATGGAATAACATTCACACCACCGAGATCATCACCAACCGAGACCTCACCAAAGCTGGTAGCGATCGAAGATGAGTAGTCTTCGTCTACTCCGCACTGCGTGCAGTTCGGTCTGGCATGTCTAGATTTCAACATCTTGCACAAACGCCAGGCCTTTTCCAGTTTTCAAACTGCGTGGAGATGAGCAAGGCCTCTATGAAAGGGAAGGAAAAAGCCCTTCCCATCATCAACGAACCCGATACATGGCGATTTCAGAAGATACCATGAAAGATTTGGCCACGAATTTGAAAACTGCAAATGCGTGTACGGAAGAGAGAAACGTCCTTGGCATTTTGCCGAATGCCGGATTGTTCTACAGCAATGGAGAAACTTGAAGCACGAACAATCACCGAGAGGACGAGAGATACTGGCAGAAAAGGGTTGAGAAAAATTTCTCCAGCTCTTAACAGTAACTAAGTGTTACGAGAGGCAGATACAACACCGGGAGGATTAAGTCCTGCCGAAATACAATTTTTTCAGGACAAAGAGTTGTGAGGAAGGAGGAAAGGCGCAGGGCGCTTAATTTTCTTGGAATTAATTCATCATTTATGTTTCGCGTATAGATTTGATAAGCAAACTATGTATATAGGTGTAGTTGTGGAAGGATGGCACCAGAGTGAATAGCTGTCCGCACGAGTATATCCAAAATGGGGTTATTTTGTGTCTAAAGAGAATAAACTTACGTGTTAGTGGGATCACTCGAAAGATGTCGTCTCGCTGCCGGCAAAGACGAATTCTTCACCTTCCAGTGGTGCCGGTGTAAAAGCTCAGTATGCTCTGCATATCTGGGATAGCCAAGAAGAATCACATCCAAATAAAAGTCGAGAGCAACCTCTTACACATCTCCATTTGACGGATTCTCGACAATGCCTTTCTTATCATTATCATCTAAGTCCTCAACCCATCTCTAACTATGCATCATCTCGCCTCAACGACCAATAAAGAAGTTGCTCCAATTGCATACAGGAGCTTGCCCCATTAATCTCCAGCCATCTCTCACTATATATTTACGATGTTATTTATACCCGCAAGGAGGAAATCAAGTCGAAAAATACAAAGCCTGGGTCTTGGCTTGTGGGGGACTATTGCTCTAATGGGACAAACAACTTGAGGAAGAACAGGCGGCTGAGATGTGGAGCGAGAGGGGGAACAGGTTTCTGAAGACCATGGTGGGACTGACATTTCCGAGGGATTTTCAACTTTTGAACGTTTTTGGGCGCCAAGAAAAATATTTCGGTTAATTTGCCTGGATGACTTCAATTGTCAATGAGTCAACGGCACTATTCAGCGCCCTGGACGGCACAAAAGAAGTTGGGCTAAGCTAATATACAGCAATCACGCTCTGTCAAGACTTTTCTGTCATTTCAGTATGACCTTCGGGTAGGAGTTGGAAGGAGGCTAGAAAGGCAGAGGGTGAATTCTCCGAGCTACCCAAAGTCTGCAGCGCCCAGCTGACCGGCCTCTTCGAGCGCTTCAGAAGGGTCACTATGTCTTCGGATTTAGTCATAATGTCAGTACTAGAAGAGCTCCGCACCCAGTGGCTTTTGCGATTTTTCCCGGCTGTCATACACCAGCAAATGGTCATCGTTTCGTTGGCTGGAGAGGGGAGATAATGGAGGGCAAAGGGCTCCTCTTAGTGTATGATCGAATGAGGAATTGTGAGGGGTGGTGCTGTTTGACGGGAGCTGTGTAGGGGGCATAGGAGGGGATATACTACTGGTATAGGTATGCTTGGCCTGTAGGCAGAGAGGACCTGCATGTCCTACATAGTCATAGACTCAGACAGGACAATAAAATGAATTAATAATAATAATAATAATAATAAAGAACGCCTGCACGCTAAGACACTTGCACGTGATGCACAATTACACAATTCTAGGATTGCGAATGTACCCGCGACCCTACGAACACTCGACGGTACTCGTAAAGTCGATGCTGAGTGTAGCTCAACCGAGATCCACTTTAGAGCCCCGAGTGGAGCCAATCTAGGTACGACTACGTGGGACATGCCGTCCTGGTGCTCCACATAGAAACTGGCACGCGATTTTTGCCCAGGATTACACCCCTCGTGCGGGCTTCCGCCTTTTCGACGAGTCTGGTATTGCTACTATTCACAATCCTCGTCGGAAAATTGAACAGTGCAAATGCTGTTTGGGCTTCCACGCCACTGGTGGTTACTCCCGCGCTCCAGCCTGCTGGAACTGCGGATCAAATATGCACTCGGAAGCCGAGTGCAAGGCCCTCACAAAGTGTCGCAACAGTGGGGGACCTCACCGATCGGATTTCCGGGACTGCCAAGCCAGACTCAGAAAATCCGGATCGATGACTAAGGAGTAGCTCGCATGAATTCGCCACCTCGAGCAAGGGGAATTCTCAAAGGTAGCACGAGCTCGAGCAGCAGCCAAAAGGGCCGAGGAGGCGATCATCGCCGCGGTGAAGGATGTCTCAATGACCGAGGCAACAGGTTTCGGAGCCCTGGAAGCTGAAGAAGAAGTTTGAGGGCACAGCAACCTCGGAGATATACCCATTCGGGACATCTACTAACTAATAGCAGGATACCGGCTGAATCATAGGAGCCCGCTAACCCATCTGTTGCTCTCAGCGGAGATTGAGTAGATTTTTCATTTAGAAGGTGTGACGGGCTAGTTAATGTGCGAGAAGTCAATTGCTGGGTCCAACGTGGAGGATTCTTTTTTCTTTTTTCTTTTTTCTTTTTTCTTTTTTCTTTTTTCTTTTTTCTTTTTTCTTTTTTCTTTTTTCTTTTTTCTTTTTTCTTTTTTCTTTTTTCTTTTTTCTTTTTTTCTTTTTTCTTTTTTCTTTTTTCTTTTTTCTTTTTTCTTTTTTCTTTTTTCTTTTTTCTTTTTTCTTTTTTCTTTTTTCTTTTTTCTTTTTTCTTTTTTCTTTTTTCTTTTTTCTTTTTTCTTTTTTTCTTTTTTCTTTTTTCTTTTTTCTTTTTTCTTTTTTCTTTTTTCTTTTTTCTTTTTTCTTTTTTCTTTTTTCTTTTTTCTTTTTTCTTTTTTCTTTTTTCTTTTTTCTTTTTTCTTTAATTAGCTGCACATTTGGCAGCAATTCACGATGTTGGAACGAGTTAGGATATAGGAAAATTACAGGGAGCCCTGTCGGCTTCACCGGTCTTGCACCTATAGTAGATATAGAGCTTTAACTTAGGACCATTTGATCTTATCAAAAAAATCAAACTTATTGGAATCTTCACGCCTCCCGCACATCAATCGTGAAATATTTCTATGTCATATATCATATAAACTAGTTATCTAATGCACCCTGACCTCTATTAAGCTCTGCCTGATGCTGGAGGCTTCTTTTAATGCGCAAGAGTGTCATGAGCTCCACGGAGTCAGAATCTGGCAGATAATCCTTGAAGCTGAGCAGGCGCTTAAGGCCATTTAGTGCTTGATTAATTGTATCAGGCGGCTCAGCTGCCTCCTCATCCTCGTGCTCCTCCTGATCCTCCTGCTGTGACATAGTACGTACAGCAATGATATCCATAAGCGTGACTATTGTGATGTAACTGTCATAGTTGGTATGAGTGCTCCCATGTCCGAAGTACAAGTGCTAGTATGCAATACAGGGATTAAGTAGTCCCAGCACGACTTATTACTATCGGCGCTTAGAACTGAGTGTTACTAGCACAACGCAGTGCAGAATATATTACTCCGGTTACGTGACAATGGGCTTTGTTATGGGTGTAGATAATGTACATATATATCAGTCCTATCTAAGGGGCATAGTGTTATGGCTCAGTATGACTGCTACTCAGTATAATGACTTGTAGTTGTGGCTATACCACTGTGCTATAAACACTGGCCCGAACTGTGGTGGCCTTATCATATCAGGCGCCGACATTTAGTTGAGTCACGCTAGGCTATACAGTTGTACTTAGTTAGGTGTAAGATGTAGCTTTATTTCTGTAGTTTTGCAATCTGTATTATTAGTCCACAAGCTATTCTTGTCCCTGTCCGTTCTGATATACTCTCGTGCGACATCGGCCAGTTCCCAATCTCGAAGACGGCTATCTCTTCACATACCAGCCGTAACACATAGACCATTATTGAATTATTATCTCTCAACTAGTCTCACATTCTCCGTGACCGATTATCTCTTTCTGCTCATTCGCCGTTATCCCTAGCTTATACACTATTCTATATCTGCTCATAACCTAGTCACAACAGTGACCTCCTCTTCATCTACCTCTTAATTTGCCTCGTCGTGTCTACAATCTTAGTCGCCATTTAAGAATATATTTGCATGAGGTGTATCCAGACCTTTACCAGGCCTAATAAGTCGTGTGGAGAGGTGCATGACATAATTAGAAACAAACTAGGAAACAGTAATCTATGCTTTGATGTTTTGGCACTTGATTAAATTTATTTATTTACAATATTTAACCTCGTGCCTTTACCCGGAGTCAACAATGTGGACAATGTGGGAGAACCCATGAGACATCAAAGTGCCAGGCCAAGATGTCAAAGTGCTCGAATTGCGTGGGACCTCATCATTAAAATGATGGTAGCTGCATGGCTCGGCCAATGTCACGGTTCGAGGTATAGATGCTGGGGCGATCAAATATACGAAGGTTGTTTATTATTTTCTCTATGGCTATCTATGTACGTCCAACTTCAACTATTTATTCGCTTACTATTCTATCTAGAATATTCTTGACTAATACCAGTTTCTAGTATTTTCCCCTGAGGCTGGTTCGCAGTCTTACTACTAGTTGCTAGAAATTTCTAGTGATGTCCAGATTAATCTATGATAGAATAGTGGTTTCGTAAAGTTGTGAAGCACGTGATTAACATCATGTGCCACAGGGTAATTACCGGCTCACTAGCCGTTACAATTCCCCTCCTCCTCCATGCATTACGCAAATGCGTGTAGCTGATTTCAGTTTGAAAGAAACACTCCAAAGTTGTGGCCCAGATAATTTTGTTAGAATTTTTTTTTTTTTTTTTTTTTCATTTTGCTTTATCCCCGTGGCTGCGGAATCTGTTACTCCGGTTCCGACGTCTGCGAAGGGTCCCTGGTTCGGCTGGTCCAACAAACGCTCCGACACTATCTTCTGGCGGACCGTCATTTGTCGCAATCGGTCCATATTTTGCTTCGAAATCATCAAGGGCTTTGGCTTCCTCGATAAATTCCACCGGCTCCCATGTCGGATTTGCTTCGCTTACCCACTTTACTAGTGCTTGTCGATATTTTCCACGGCCACGACGAACAGTTCTCGCACGTAGAATTGACTCCACCTCGTATTCGGGCTGCTCCAAGTCATCTATTATGGGGGGGTTTTGAGCATCATCTCTAAATTGACTTGGAAATGGATCTGAGCCGGCTCGCTTTACTAATTCCACATGGAATCGTTTATGGATATTTCCCGGCACGTTTAGCTCAACTGTAAGTGCATCAGGGACAGCAGTCACTTCATATTTTGCATGTTGCCATGCTAACTTCTTCGATAGTTGGGGAGTTTTTATATGACGTAGATCCAACCAGACCTTATCTCCAACTCGGAATTTTTCGGGCTGTCGGCGTATTAAGTTTCCATTGGCTTCATAACGTTGCTGCGCAGACGCCATTGCTGCTTGAGCAAAATCTTGGGCGTCCTTTAGTCTTTGTACAAATTTCATTGCTGAGAGCCGACCCGGATGTCTCGACTTTTCACAGGTAGTCGGCGTTGGTTGTGTTACAGGGTCCAAGTCGTAACCATGCTTTAAGAAAAAGGGGCTCATTCCTCCAAGTGATGAATTTGGGCGGGCATTGAGTGCTAGCTGTGCCATTGGCAACAAATCCATCCAGTCATTTTGTGAGTAGCAAGAGAATGATCGTAAGTACTTGTATATTTCCTAGTTAGCCCGCTCACTGGCATTTGACTGAGGGTGATACGCCGTTGTCAGTCGCTGCGAAATCTTTGTTAACTCACAGAATGCCTTCCAAAAATGGCTTACCCAGTCGCTGCCGCGGTAACTAGTTAGGTATCTAGGAAATCCGTGGTAGCGATAGTATCGGTCAACAAACACTTTGGCACATTCTTCTGACGTCATTGAGTTTGTACCAAACATGAAAACTTCCTTCGACAAACGATCAGTTATTACCATAATATTGGTACACCCATTTGACGGGGGCAGATCAGTGACGAAGTCAATCGTAAGTTCACAGCCAACCCTTTCTGGAATTGGTAACGACCGAAGAAACCCAGCTTTTGCTTCCCTCCAAACAGTTGAGCGTCCACAAACGTCACAATTCCGAACAAACCGACGCACCGATTCCCTCATTTTGGGCCAAAACCATCTCCGTAGTAGGATACCTACCATTGTGTCTCTCCCTGGATGTCCTGCAAGATGGCTATCGTGTGTCTGCTGTAAAATAGCTGTTCGAAGTGGCTCGTGATCTGGCACCCAAATTCTATTTTCACGACCTCTCAGCACTCTATCTGCAGCCACTGTACATTCAGCGATATTAGCTCTATACTTTAAGGCGATATCTGGAGGAAAGCATCTTTCACCCGCTTGTACAGCATTTCGAGCTCGCTTCCAGTCGTTATCTATTTCAATACCCTTCGCCCATAGAGCTTGTAGCTCATCGCTCTCAAAAAGAATTGCTTCAGCGGCTGGGTCCATGGTTTGGTTTGTGTTACGGTTAGTTTTTCTGGTATTGACAGGGTGGATAGAAACTGTTGGCAATAACTGTATAACCCTTCCGGCATTTCTTTCATCGTCGAGACCTGTGGGCTTATCTTGTTCTCGCCTTGACAATGCATCCGGTCGCTCGCTAGCAGCTCCTGCTCGCCACTGAATGTTAAAATTAAACTGTTGCAAGGTATCGTTATACCTAGCCTGTCGTTCGTTGAGAAGCTTTTTTGAAGCAAAGTAATTGAGATTTTTATGATCACTAAGTATAGTGAAGGGTCTTGCCACTGATTTTAATTCAGCCTGCCACTCCTTGAGACATTCAATAATTGCAAGCATTTCTTTGTCATGAATAGGGTAATTGTACTCGGCGCCTGACAATCTTCTTGAAAAATATGCAACTGGTCGTAATTTATTCAGATCGTCTAATTGTGATAAGCAACCACCCAGTGCATAGCCAGAACAGTCTGCTTCTAAAACAGTATCACGATCTGGGTCCCATTGAGCTAAGACAGGTGATGTTGCAAAAATTCTCTTTAATTGCTCGAATGCTGAATTTTGTTTCTCACCCCAATTCCATGATGAATTCTTCTTGGTCAAATCTATTAACGGGGCAGCGATGTCAGAAAACTTATTTATAAAACATCGATAAAAGTTAGCAAATCCTAGGAATGATCTAACACCTTTGACGGAGGTAGGCGCCTTCCATTCCAGTATGGCTTTCACTTTGTCCGGGTCTGTCGAAACATTCTCACCTGCCTTGATGATAAATCCAAGATATTTAACTTCCTGACAAAGGAATTCACATTTATCAATATCAAGGTATAGTCCTGCACTTTTGAGTTTCGATAATATGCTTCTGACTACCTTCCAATGTTCCTCCTCACTCCCTGATGTATACGCCAGAACGTCGTCCATGTAGGCTGTGGCATCAATGTCAAGGTGCTCGCGCAATTGCTCATTAATATATCTTTGAAACGTTGCTGGTGCGTTGGAAAGACCGAAAGGCGTTACCATCCACTCGAAGAGACCAAACCGACAGCGGAATGCCGTCATCCATTCACTGCCCTCCTTGATACGTATTCTATGGAAAGCTGATTTTACGTCAAGTTTGGTAAACCATCTTGCTTTAGATAACTGACGTAGCGTTTCTTTGAATAACGGAAGTGGATATCGATCAGGCACCGTTATCGCATTTAGTCCCCTGTAATCTACGCAGAATCTAAGGCCTCCGTTTGGCTTCTTTGCAAAAAGTACCGGTGCCGCTGCTGCTGACTTGCTGGGTCGAATCCAACCCTTTTCCAGGAGGTCGGTCAGGGTTTTCCTCAAAACAAGCAACTCTTCTCTTGACATACTGTAAAGTGGTCCCCATGGTGGTGACAGAGGTTTCCCATTTTCTTTCTTTAACTCTATAGAATGGTCAAGTGCCCCGCGCGAAGATGGTAAGTCTTTTGCCCCTGTGTCATCTGCAAATAAATGAGCAAAATCCTTGACTTGGTCGGGTAGGCGATTCCGCGCTATTTCTAACGAAACACCCGGTTTTCCACGTAATGCTTTACTTATATCTTCGAGCGATGCCTTGCAAACTGGGACAGTCTGGACCATTAACGCCATAGTTTTGATTGGAACATTCTTTGGCCGAGCCACATTTCTCAAATCTTGTCGCCATCGCTCGACGCTGCATACAGATCCACCATACTTGCGAAGCTCCAATCGCTGCTCTTTAGAATGAATTACAGCATCTTGTTCTTCGAGCCATTTTTTCCCTAATATCAACTGATGTGTGCTCTGAGGGACAATGTAGAGCCACAGTTTTGGGGTGATATATCCATCAAGATCTAGTGATATGTACGTAATTTTATCCAC